TAATAATAAATGAAATTTATTGTCATCATATATCATTATAGTCCATCCGTCTCATTTTTTTAGTCCATTTTTCTATTTTAGTCTATCCCAAAATATTTGTTTACTTTCTATTTTGGGATACTAAATTATATTAGATTTCCGAAATTGTTCCTCATAAATCATTATAAACACATTTTAAAATTCAAAAAGAAAGATAATGGTAAAAAAATATTTCAAAATTTAAAGTAAAATATAATAGTTGTATGTCATGTTAATAAGTTAGATTTTTTATAAGGGACAAATAAATTGAAATGGAAGGAATATTTCTTTATCTTATTGAATTTATCTTTTCGATGCGTCACTATTACTTTAATAATATAGATGCAAGATGTGACCCAATAGACTAATACAATGAAAACATCTAAAATAATAAATAAAATGGAAAATGGTTTGTAGCTCGAATAGTCCCTTCCCCGAATTCCCTGACTGCCCAAAACGACGTCGTTTTAGGCAGTTTTTTTTTTTTTTTTTTGGTTCCTCCTTATCCAGACTGAAACAGAGGGAGAGAAAGAGAAAGAGGGAGAGGAGAGGGAAGAAGAGAGGGGAAAAGAGAGAGGAGAGAAAGAGAAGAGAGGAGAAGAGGGAATGGAGAGAGAGAGGGTCGATCGCCGATTGCCGCCGCCGCCTCCGCCGATCAATGGCAGATCGCCCGGTTTTTTTTTTTGAAATGTGTTGATGATGATGATGGTGATGTTGATGAAGATCTGAAGATGTTGAATGGTTGAATGGTTGAAGATGTTGTTAAAGATGAATGGTTGAATTGTTGTTGATGATCTGAAGATGATGATGATGATGTTGTTGATGATTGTTAGGTCCCTTGATTGTCAAATCCGGGTACAAAACTTTAGGTTGAACAAAGTTGTAATTTTCCTGTGTTTTTTTTCTTCCCGCTCGAGCGAGACCATTGGCGCTCGAGCGGATATTGGGGTCTCTCAGTATTTTGTCAGGTCTGTAAAAATACTGGAAGGTGTGATTTCGCGCTCGAGCGGGTCATCAAGCGCTCGAGCGGAACTCTGTTTTTTCGCACGCAGATTTTGCTGAAGCCGCTCGAGCGGGATGTTGGCCGCTCGAGCGGAGATCGCGGACTCAGGTTGCTTATTTATACTTGTTTAGGCTGTTTTTTAGGATTACTTTTCCTAGATCTTATTCAAGAGTCCTAGGGTTTTGTTTGAAGTTTTGTTCTGAGGTTTTTTTGTGAGTTTTCCTTGATGTTTTGAGAAGAGTTCTTCAATCATGATCTAAGATACATACATCAAGGAGTTGGTTACTTTAAATTCAAGAGAGAGTTCTCTTCGGTGGATTCCGAAGATTCTAGTCATTTATTTTTCAATGTTATAGGTGCAAGCCCATATTGCTCGGGTTAGGAGACACAGGCAGTTGAGTGTTATAGATGGGTAGCATCAATGGCTAAAATTTCCTCTAACATGTGAGTGTACACCATTTCTCCCATAAACTATAAAATTTTACTTGTTATACTGATTTCATGGCAGACTTGATTGTGTGTTCTGAGTCTGTAATATAGTATACTCATTTATTTACAGTTCTATACTTCTTTCTTATATATCTTCCTCTCTTTTATGTAATTCTTCTCAATGACTGTTGATTTGTACCAAAGCAGAGGAAAAAGGAATGAAAAAATGAAATTTGTTTATTGCAGTAAGATTTGAATCTACTATATTTTCTGAATGGTTGGCTGAAACGACTAAATAAAATTATTCAAGTTTACATAATTTGTTTCAGAAAAAACAGTGATTCCAGCCGGGAAAGTGTGTTATTACCAAGTGATGTGTGAAAATTGAAACATGACACGCTTCAATAATATAATAGATGCCACATGAAAGTAAGGAGATTTTGTAAAATTTATTAGTTTGCTTAGTATTTTTTTTTTAACACCATCAATAAATCTCAACTGAATTCGACTGCTCAATCAATATTGAAATGTGTAGATGTAGATAATGAATGTCATGCACATCATAAATATTTTACATCAAATATTGATCTCTCATCTCTCTCACCATGTTTTGAACAAGTGTCCTTACAAAATGACAAATTTAACTTAATGTGGGTAGTTTATAGTTTCTGAGTGATCATGTTTGGATAAGATTCCTATAGTGTTGTGGGTAGTTTACAGTTTCTGAGTGATCATGTTTGGATAAGTACTGTAAAACTTGCAGTTTCAAAGGGGTATTAGAATTGAATTTTGATCTCTCTCTCTCTCTCTCTCTCTCTCTCTACCTCTCTACGAGTGCTTTTTAGCTATGTATATGTGTTTGTCTTTACATATAGGAGGGTTTTGTTTTGGAGGCAAGACAAGAGTAACATGGCCTTCATGTGACACACCTACGGCAGTGTCACCATCAGCTTGTAAAAAGAAAAATATGCCTTTTGTTTTGATTAGCAGCTCCTATGCCATGCCATGCGGCTCACCACATTTCATTGAGATTGCTCGGTAGGGGCCACTCTTTTAATCTTCAACCATTCTCATTGACAGAACATGGCATAGTTTTCCCCAAATAAGGGGTAAAAACTTTAGACACAATGTGAATTAGAGGCAGTTAGCAAGTTAGAGTCAGTGCCAAAATACTTAACACGATTAGTTAAACAAGTTAGGGTTAGGTTAGCATTGAGAAAATTTTGACTCAAAATAACAAGACATGGGTTAAACTTTATTTGAAGGACATTTTTTCCCTTTTGCATCTTTATGCCTTGACAGAAGCCAAGTCTCCCTAACAATAGGACCGCATACGACTTATTTCTCTGCAATTTGTTTTGACTAATATGATATAAGGGTTGATGATATCCAAAGTATCCATCTTGTTACACCTAGAATAGCATGGACAATGGTGTAAACTAGTCACGTTGAAGTATGAGTTTGTAATCTATTAATGAGTACAGTTAATGTAGTTAGACTCCGCATCTTTCAGATGTTATAGCATACTTAGTGTATATATGTACATCCAAACCTCTACATTCATAATAATAATTATTATTGTATATAGAAATCTCAAATACATTCCTTGATGGGTATGTGTATGGTTGTAAAGTTTATGGGGATATCTATGTAGATGTACTGGAAAGGAAATTCTCAGTGCCCTGAGTAAAATAAAAGGAGAAGACAGAAATGCCGGACATGGACATAGCCTGTATTGAGCATTAAATCTTACCCAGATCGCTTTGTGAGCCTTAGAACATGCAGATATTACCCTTTTGCTGAGCAGACTGTCTGGCAAGCGAGGCATATTTGTGGTTCTCATTTCATGTGGGCTCAAATTTCCTGATTGTAACCCTTCAATTTGGTGGTGGTGGTGGTTTCCTATAGAGGACCACATGGACAGGCCCAAAACAATTCCTAGCTATTTTTATATGACGTCTAATAACACTGCATGAGGGTTAAGACTCTGTATATCTGACTCTTTCCTGACCCTGCAGTGGTGAGTGCACAAGGACTGTCCTTTTGTGAAGTAACTCCACAATCTGCACCGGTAGAAATGTAGGTTGATTGAACATTAAACCAAGGGGACATAATTGATTTAGTTTGTTAGTTCTGTTTTTTTGGGTACCTATCCAACACTAGCTCTCTAATCTCATTTCTTAGTATATCTGCAGGCTAACAATCAGTCCACTGGATTTTCCCCAGGGAAAAATATGGTTCACCTAAAGGTATATATGATCTATAGCATTGCTTCATACTAACATTAGATGCAACAAATTGATTATATCTGTCGGTTCCATATGATCCATTTTTTATCTAGGAATTTCCTAATAGATGTGTATCCATTACTTTTCCCATGTAATTGTACAAACTACAGTTCAGTTAGAAGATATTTGGATTGGTTTGAATATGAGGAGAGACAGACAAAATCCTATTAATTTTGTCTAAATTATGAGACAAATGTGGTAGAAAACAAGAGAAAGACCAAATAGATGAGAGATTTTAGATACAAAAATAACATGGGAATGAATGAAGTATATCTGAAGCAGGTGGTGGAATAAACTAGATTATCTGCTGTGGATGATGATACAAGAGAGAGTATGGAAGTACGAAAGTAGTCCTTGGACATGAAAATATGAATAGAATAATTTATTCAAGTAAAGTAAGCTATAAGGTTAGCTTTGTTTGTATTTATGTTGCTCAAAAACCATATATATCAGTAAAGTTAAACCTGAGCCAACAGAGTTAGAGCAAATGGGTTCTGCAAAAAATCTTATATTATGGATTCACTGCAACAAAAATGCTCTCTCTCACCCACCTGACACTCTTCACTTTGCACAGAATCACCAAGCTCCAACAATCACAAACAACCAATCTTCAACAGACTAGTACTCTTCGGTTTGGTTATTGTAGTTAGGAAATCGTTACTATACACACCATGTGTATTTGTAATTTCAATCACAATAGTTTATAGTAGTCAATTTGAGCCATAATCAAAATTAAATTGATCCATAACAAAAACATCATAACAAGACTTCATAAATAAGTTCATTACAAATTTGATTGTTACAAAAATCTCATAACTAAGCAGCATATAATTTATAACTAAAATCACAAATCTTCATAATTAGGACTATAATTTTTTTATATAAATTCATCACCTGATTTCACATAGAAGGAGAGTAGTGTACTTAAAAAATGCTGTGATTGTGAGAGAGATTAAAATTATGGAAAAGTTTTGAGGTTGGGGCTGAAATAGCAATTGGCCATGTGAGTATTTGATATGATAAGAAAAGTTGAAGGATATAAGATCCAAATCTTGAATTTGAGCCATCTTGAAAGGCCACTCGAAATTTTTTCAGTCATCAATTTTAGGATCTTAGGATTAGTTAAGGTGCACTCGAGTTGACTTAAACACACACATATCTATAAAGGAAATAACATAATTGATTAGGGACTTGAGACAGTAATGTTTATGAATGGAAATTAAATTTGGAAGTCAAATTTACTAATAAAACTCAATGAGTAGAATGGATATACTATAACAGTGCAACATAGATTCAAATTAGTCACATCCATCCACTAAAAGACTTGCTTAGAGGAATTTAGATTGAGAGAGAGAGAGAGGGTCCATGTTGTTATTTGGAGAACCAACAAAGGACAGGTAATCCATTGGGTTCGGGCCCACCCGTGTCCCTGCACCCATACACATACCCCAAAACACCCGTGGTCTGTCCTTTGGTTCCATACCCCACAATATCCCTCTCCCTCTCTCTCAACTTTCTTCATAAATACCCTTTACACCCCACTCTATCCCCTCACCACCACCACCTTTACTATCTATCTCAAACAACTCTCTCAAAACCTAAAATGGCCATTAGAAAATCAAACAAACTACCACAAACTGCAGTTCTCAAGCAAATTCTCAAGAGATGCTCAAGCTTGACAAAGAAACACGGCTATGACAACGATGACAATGGTCTTCCTCTTGACGTACCAAAAGGCCATTTTGCAGTCTATGTGGGAGAAAATAGGAGCAGATACATTGTTCCAATCTCATTCTTGTCTCATCCTCAGTTCCAATGCCTTCTTCGACGTGCTGGAGAAGAGTTTGGCTTCGATCATGATATGGGTCTCACAATTCCTTGTGAAGAAGTTGTTTTTCGCTCTCTAACATCAATGCTTAGATGAGAGTGTTAAAAATGATGTAATATTATTGATTGATATTGATTGATATTGTAGTGTTTACATTGATTCCTATATATAGGAGGTGTGAAGTGGAGATGGTGGTGGTAGGTGAGGAGTAGGTGAGTGTAGTAGGTGAGTGTGTGGTAGGTGATGGTAAATATTTTAACAGCCCCCCGCAAACTCAAGGAGGATAGAAACTAACCAACTTGAGTTTGGAGAGAGGAACAAAACAAGAAAATACATAAAAATAAAAATAAAAAAGAAAGATAGGAGACACTGTATGGTCGTGTCAGACCGTTGGTGAACACACTGAAAGGTGGTGCCATAACGTTGTAGAGGACACTAGATGGTGGTGTCATAACGTTGTAGAGGACACTGTATGGTGGTGTCATAACGGTGTAGAGGACACTGTATGATGGTGTCATAACGTGGTAGAGGACACTGTATGCTAACCGGAATCAAATGTCGGGACAGTTTATGGGGTCATGTCGGACCGTTGAAAAAGGCTAACCGGAATCAAATGTCGGGACAGTTTATGGGGTCATGTCGGACCGTTGTAAAAGACAGTTGTTGTTGTCTCGATTTGCGACCAGTCCTGTTTTCTCTATTTTCTCTTCCAAAGGGAGGGAAGGTTTCTCATAGAACCATCTCTCAGTGGCCGTAGCTACGTTTCGTTGTCGAGGCCATTTTTCCCGTTTGGAAATCCAGTTTTCTATTTTCAGAAACCGTCAGTTGTGTCCTCGGTTTCGGACCGCTTAACTACCTCTATTTGCTCCGGTTTTTTAGCACCACACCTTGTTTCCTATCTTTTCAGGGACACTGTGGCCCGGAGAGACCACCTTCAGTGGTCGCACGCCACCCGGTGCCTAACAGCTTGTTTTCGGGGCCCCAGGCTGCGTGTTTTGGCCCCCAAACCCTCGTTTTGCATCGGTTAGGGCGTCATTTTTGGTATGGACCCTATTTTTCATTGTTAGAATGGGTGGTAGGTAGTGGCAAACTAGCAATTCTTTTTGAAAATTATTTTCATCTCTCCTCCAGCTGGTTTTCTTGACAGAAAGCTGGTTTTCTAACTTTTTAGCGCTAATTTCTGGGGTCTCCCATACCACCAACTTGTATTGTATTCCATCTGGGAGGCCACCAATATGGGTAGGCCGACCAGCTTTTCTTCCTTGGACCCTTTGGAACCTTGCTAGAAGGGTTTTTCTCCTCTCCTGGGTCATTCTTCTGGTCTTCCCAACCATACAGTGTATTCTACTGCATCCAGGAGGCCACCTTTTTGGTATGGCCGACCGGCATTCCTCCTTGGACCCTTTTGACCCCAGGTCGGCCCCAGGGGAAGTGGTCGGCCGACCACCTTGGCTGGTTGCCAGCCTTCTGCTTTTTGGCCTTTCTTGAGTGTATACAGCTGTTGCAGCTGTGTAGCATTGACCAACTGTCTGAGATTTGAAGCCCTTTGTTTGGTCTTCTTAAGGTGTTTTGACCCGTTGGCCTAGCGTTCTAGGAAAGTTTGCCCTTTTGTCAAGCTTCTTGAGGAAGTTTGACCCTTTTTTGGTCAAGCTTCTTTTTAGAAAGCTTGCCCCCCTTCTTTGAGCTTCTCCAAGAGCCATAACTTTCCTCTTCTATAGAGAGACCTCCCTCTCATTTTCAAGGGTTGAACATCTTGGCTAAGGCAACACCCTTTCCCCTCCATCTCTCAACTTCAGCCCTCCAAACCACCCTTGTTTCTGGGTCATTACACTTACACCTCATAGCGTACCACCTCCACCATCCATTCCAGCACCTTGGGACTGATTTGCAGAGATTGAAGGTTCACCAAGTTTGGGTCCAAGAAGTTGCCTGGCATTGCTGTTTGCTACAAGGGTAAGTCTCCATTTACCTCTTTTCTTGCATTATTTTTGCTATATACTTTAGCTCTATTTGCTGCATTTTGGGCTTCGAAATAAACTTTAAAGTGGTTCTTATTTTGAGCTCCTCTTGAAGTTTAATTGAGGACACTTTTTCTGGTTTGAGGTCAACCTACCTCCTTGTATGCTTATCTTCTCTTTAGGCTTATTTTGCTGAATATCTTAGCCTTACTTTGCAAGCATTTTTGAGATTTCCATGAATAAGGAAAGCTTATTTTGAGCACTCTTGTAGTTTGTTAAGGGCATTTTTTCTTATTTGGGGTCATCTTCCCCTTTCATGCTTCATTTCCTCATGATTTAGGGCTAGGCGATATAGAGCATTTTGCATTTGGCCTTGGTTTGGCCTCTTAAGCCACTGAAATCCAGTGGATGTTTTAGTGGCTTGATGTGTTTTTTGAGAAAGCTAAAATCAGAGGGGGGTGACCCCCTTCTCTCCTTGTCTTGTTTGTTGGCCTTTTGGCTTCAAAGGCCCCTATTTTGCAAGCTTCCAAGCTTCATTCCACCATTTTTCAGTGGGGTTAGGGCCCCCATAACTCATTTTAAGAGTTGGTTTTTCTATGCTAAGTGTCCTTGATGCATGTGTAGAGTAACCCCTCTCGTGGGCTTCAAAGGAACACACTATTCTATTGCATGCATGGGACCTCATTTAGTGGTTTCTTGGGTTAATACATGCCATGGTTTACTGTTTTTAGCTGGTTTGGTGACCTCTCTTGTGGCTTCTATTTACATGTAGTGTTTGTAAACCATGCTACTAGCTAAGTTTGCATGCTGTTTTAGCCCTTCATGTTAGCAACTCTTTGGCCTGCTTTGAACTTAATGTTGTGCATATTTTGGACTGGCCTTTGGCTTTGTTTTGCACTTCATGAATCCAAATAAATGCTTGCTTTGCATGATGTATAGTTCAATGCATTTGCCTAATTTGAGTTTCAGGGCCTTCTTTATGCATGAGGCCATATTTCCATGATTCGGGGACCATTGCGCATCATATTTCAGTGCTGGAAATGCATGTTTGTATGCCATCCTTCATCCCTTGCCATGCTTTGGTAGAGTGGCATTTGATGCCTTAGGTTTGGTCCTTGGTATTCGTGCGTTGTGCACGCATTTCGGTTGTCTCATTTCATTCTCATGGCCACTGATGTTTGAGTGTGGCTGGAGGTCCATTCATTGTTGGTTGGCAAGTCATCATGCATTGTGTATGCCATTTTAGTCCATAGCCTTTACGTTATGCTAGGTCGCATGTTAGAGCATTGTGTATGCCATGTTACGGTCACGTTGCATTTGTGTTATGCCATCTTAGTCTATAGACATTGCATATGGCTAGGTTTCCATGTTAGTCGCATTGTGTATGCCATCTCATTTGCATTGTTGTTGGGATAGGAGTCAGCCCAAGCACGAGAAACAAGGGACGTTCCATACCTCTAGAGTAAGGAAAGTGTCTCAATTCCGATTGCCAACACTCCGATTACCATGATGGAGTCTAGGCCTTGTTGTGGTTATGCGTGGCATTTCATTTCAACATCGAGTCGTGCAATCGACTCCTCGGCCATCATGCATCGATGCATGATTGGTGGGCACGGGGATCGAGGTCTAACACTCCCTGAGCTTTGTGCAGGGACGGAGAGTGTAGGTCATGCACACATTTTGTTGAAAATTACCTTGCCATGTCTCTTTTTTGCTTTGTGCTGCCGAAAACCAGGGTCCAGGGACAGAAAGTTGGTCGGGCTGACCAGGGTCTTCTGGGCAAGCCGACCACCTTTTTGGGTAATCCACCACAAAAGGTGGTCAGCAGGTGTTTCCCATGACCAAATAGCTGTTCCGGCAGCCTTTCCCAAGGTGGAGTTCAGCCTTTCTGAAAGCTTTGTTCTAGTTTTCTTAATTAGTTGGCAAACCAAGGCGAGACGAGACATCGCAATGGGAATTTCCCGACGAGGCAACTCGAGCATGCATGCATCTTTCATCATTCGGAACAGAAGCTGAGGCGGTCCATGAATTCGCATACTAGTTTTATGCTTCGTAGTTAATTGTTTAATTTAATTAGGGTTTTAACATTTATTATTCATTCGGACTATAATTATTTATTCGGGACCTGCCGACGGAGGGCACAATTGTAATAAGTGTGCGTGTTTGTGTGATGTTATGTCTTTCCAACCCCACGTCTTTCTCCTTTTTATTTACCAGCTTATGATTGGTTAGTTTTAAGGGCATGTTTTCAATTAGCATACATATGATAGCATGTTTGCTTCTTTCATCGTCTTGCATGCACCGGGCTCTGCGCATCATACTAACTGCATTGTATTTTCATTTCGAGGTGAATACTGTTAAGTTGTAAGCATTTTCCACATTGCCCATCTTTAAATTAGCCGAGCCTATTGTAGTTGCATTCCTGGCTGTTTGGCATTTAGGCATTTCAGCATAGTTAGGATCATGCATGGATTCCTAACATAGCTTCTGTTTTGGCTATGGAGTGCTCGACAAGTATTTATGCTTTAGCATCCTTGCATTGCCATGTGAGTGAACTGTGCCATGATAGCATGCTTACCATGAGGCGTATTTGCTTATGCGATATTATACCTGCCGTGGGTGAAGGTTGGTTATCTGATATTGGAATAAGCATTAACTGTGATGCTTTTAAGCCACTCAACTCAGTTGGCCAAAAACCATCTTTTCTAAGCCCACGAACCTGGCGGGTGGCAAAATCTGCATTTTTAACCCCACTTATTGCGAAGATAGAAACCGCTTTCAAACCGATCCGTCTATACTTGTATGCTGTGCGCATCACATAGTTAAATCTAGGCTAATAACCGGAATAAGAATGTATAATGTTTCAAAACTAGATATCATGGTTAGTAGAGGCCGATCTTTTGATTCGGGCGAGCGGGGGTTCTCACAAAGTGACCCTCCCCAATCGTACCCAAGTTCCCTACACGAGGCAACTTCGGTGATGACGGCACGTGGCCTCGGGCAACGACGTTCAGGGTTTCTTAAATTTTCAAAAATAAAATATTTAGGCAGCGACTCTGTATCTGCAAAGTAATCTATGATTGGCACTTCTTAAACAAATATGTTTTAAAAATGATTTGTCCAATTTGGACTCTTTTGATGATTCATCAGTCTTGCATTGCACCTCTGTGAGATTAGATACAGGAACCGTACATTGAGTCCTGAGCTGTAGTGAGCCCAAATGAACAGAACGGGATTTCCCTCCGGGACGTTCGGGGACGTCTACACTTGCGCTGTTACGCAGGTTATATGCGTTTGTTACGCACTTCTT